ATGAAGAGTCAGCACGTGGTCGAGGTACGCTTTCCCCTTCACTCCGACCCGCCATCGTTCTCGTATCGTCTTTGCGCACCTCGACGCATGTTCCTGCGCAAATGCAACTCACCTATCGATCAGATCCTCTTCCTTTGCTCTTCTCATCCTAGGCTTCTTCCTAAGCGGAGCGTCCTCATTCTCCTCTTCGCCCATCTCCCCCTCCTCCCCCTCACCATCACCCCTGCTCTTTTTCTTCTTTTTTCTGCTCATCTTCAACGCTCTTTTTGCTTCTTTTCTGGCCCTCTTCTCCTCTTTGCGTCTCTCTCTAGCTTCCTGATCCACATCCTCATCATCATCCACCACTCCCTCGTCCGACAATCCGTACCCATCCCCCTCCTCCTCTTCCTCCTCATCCCTTTCCCTCTCGCTCTCGCTCGTCTCAATCTCGCTCTCCGCTCCGCCCTTCTTCTTCCTTCTGCTCTTTCCTCCCGACGACCCCTTTCTCTCCTTGCCCGCACCCGCGCCGCCGGCCTCGCTCTTCCGAGGTCTGGGCAGCTTCACCTCCTCAGGTGGAGGTTCCCACGTGACGACCTGCGCTCTAGCCTGCCTTCTCGCCTCGCTCAGAATCCTAGCCTCTTCCGCCTGCCTGGCTAACTGCCTCTCCTTTTCCAGCAATTTTTCAGCTTCCGCCTCTCTCTTTCGCTCCGCCACAGACAAGGCGTCGGCAAGCTTGCGAGCTTCGTACTCTTCTTGCGCTGCAATGTGCTCCGGAGCCGTGCGCAGTAGGGAAGAAGAGGCGTACAGCTCTCGTTGCTCCACCATCTCTGCTGGCACGTACGATAGACGTCCAGCTTTGGCCTCGGGAAGCAATTCAGAAAAGATGCTAGCCGACAAAAAGGAGCGATCGAGGGCGTGGTGAGTTTTGTGCATCTGAGCGTTCTGTTCATACTGAACCCCAACCACGCAGACATCGCGAAAGCTCGACTCGAACTCACCTTTGAGCATCCTGCACAGCTTTTGCAGCATCACTGAGCTGCTTCACGGTCCTCGCCTCGGGAGACAGCTCAAAGAGCAACTGCAAAGCCTTGTGCCTGATGACCGCCTCATTGTACCGCAGGTAGTTCCTCTCCAAATTCGCGCTGCTCGTATTCCTCAGTTCCAGCACATCCAGCGCTTCTCTGAGGTGGCCTACGGCTCGTTCGAGGTGAGCATACGACTTGCTGCGCAAGCCCAACCGGTAGTGCGGACGAGAAAGGTAGGTGGAGATGGACACGTTCTGAATGCCCAATTGGGAAAAACGAAATGCTGCGCCTTCGTACTGGAAACAATTCGGATCAAGGTCAGACGATTGCGGCTTGCTCGCCTGGGGAATGTCAAAGAGGCGTCCAAAGACTCACAGCTCTGAGTGCGCCTTCAAAGTCTTCCCGAAGCATGAGGGCGTGTCCGAGGCAGACGAGCACGCTAGGGTCCTCCCTGACGTCC